CCCCAAAACCCCAAAACCCCAAAACCCCAAAACCCCTCAGGATTCTTAAGTATTGAAATATTGGGTTAATAATATTCTTCATCATTAGGCTCATCACTACTGGAAGGAAGGGCGTCAAAAGCTACATCAAGCTTCTTGTTCAGAATCTCTTTGTTCTCTGCTTTTGAAAGAACTTTTTTAGAGAGGTTACTTCTGTTCGTCTTGCTTATCTTTTGTTCCATTATTTCTAACAGAGTTAGCTTTGTGTTACGAATTGTCTACGTTTTTAGATAATCAACTTACTGAGGGATTCACACTTGAATCTTGCTCGGAATTTTTAGCACTAGATCTCCTAACAGTGGAGTAGGAATTATCAGCTCCTTTCTTATAAGGTGACTGATCAGCATCTTTCTTAAAGTCCTGGATTGGCTCTGCATTTTTCAAAGACTTGAATGAAGGTTGGCTCTGATGCTTAAGCAAATTTAGTTGTTTGATCGGACTTCCAAGGAAGATTTCATCTTGATCCAAAATATCATCTTCTTCAGCCTCCTCTGGATGGGGCTCTTGGCCTTTATCTTCTTCAAATTGGTGATCTTTAGCTTCTTTTTCAGTCAAATTTTCAAAGGTTCTTGGCTTTGAAACAGTGATTTCATCTTTCTTTGCACCCTCTTCTGTTTCAGTCTTGTGCTTTCTGATAAGAAGAACTTGTGATGCATTCTTATGAAGCACATTGTCTAATTCAATATTTGAAGTTTTGAGATTGGGTCTTGAGGGATTTCTAGTAGGTGCAGGAGCTGGCTTTAAGAATTTAGGTACTTTAGAAGATCCTCCTTCTTCATCTTTGTGAATTGTACTATCATTAGAGGATTGGTAGCCACTACAATTTTTGTTCATTTCGTCATTAATTGTAGTAGTGGGATCTTTAGACTCTTCTTTGATATTGCTTTGATTAAAGAGCTGGATAAATAATTGTGACCTCCTATTACTCTTTGGTAATCCAGAAAGTCTTAGTTCATCTTTAGTCGGCAATTCTGGAGGCATTTGTCTCATTTTAAAGCTATCCTTCTTCCCAAAGGAATGATTTTCGAAATTATACAGATGCTGCTGCTTTTCTTTACGTGGATCAAAAGCAAAGTTATTTGTTACAGGACCTTTAAGATTTGGTGAATCACCATCGATATCTCCGTTATTAGAAGTTCTACTTAAAAGCCTATTTTTATCATTTTTCTGAACAGTTTTCATAAACTTTTTGGAGAGTTCAGAGGATATTTTCTTATTTTCGATTTCAAGGTTACCAAATGATTCCATTTGCCTGCTAATTCCTTTAGGATTATTAAGAACTCCTGAAAGAACACTCGGTCTGAACCTGTCTCCTGATCTATTCGAGGCAGGGAATTTACTGATGTTTGAGGTATGAGAAAGATGAGTACTCCCAATTCTTGATCTCATAGTCTCCTTTGCTGAATGCTCTTTATATTTTGATATACTGATATGATTCTTGCAAACATTTCAAGTGATGTATCCTTTCGAGGTGGTATTACTAACAGATACTTCACTTTGAGACTCAGAAGTCAGACTTTCATCCTTCACACCATTCTTATCTCCAGTAATAACTTGGTTTAAGTTGTCAAGCAAGTTTCCATTTTCAAATATCTTTGCGAAATTTGTATCACTGTAGGTTTCCTTTTTGTCAAAAATCTGGAAGAATTCCATTTCTGAAAATTCTTCTTGCTTAAAGTTTCAATTTTTCTTTGGAATATCAATGAGCTCCGAGGTTGCTCTATCTCTGAAATCTTTGATAGCATATCCGATGTCAATAAGCTCACCTCTCATTCCAATGTTCTTAGCTTTAGAGAGACAGATGTCAAGAAGATCGTTAAGCTCGTGGTCGTTCTCGGTATCCATATTAACGACTTTTACAAGATTTTCTGTGACATAGCGGGCCTCATTCTTTAATTGCCATACTTTTTGCTTGACTCTTTCTGGTATGTCAATTCCTATTTTATTGTAGCCTTCTCAGAGGACTTCAAGTGTGAAAAGATCGTTCCGTTCAGCAGCTTTAAAAAGCTCTTCATTGTTAAGTAGAGTTTGGTTCTTTTGCCAGAGGTAGTCATCTTCTTCAGAGTCGTCATAATTCTCTGGCTCTTTATCAACAAGATCGCCAATGTAACTATTGTCAGAAGCGACCTCAAAGGAATCTGAGAGCTGTTCATACTTAAAATTAGCCTTATGGTTAGTATTGGTCATATAATGAATGATGATATCTTTGAAGCGCTTTAAAGCCTTTCCTCGTTTCGTGCTTTTACCATTCTGATCGTTCTCTTTAGGTAAATCAAGAATCAGATCCATCATTTTTTGGACATTCATTCCTTTCTTACTAATATCAGTGTCCCAGTTGAACTTCTTTGTGTTGTATTCTTCTTCATCGATCTCTTTAGCCCCTGCAATTTTTCTAATTTCCTTAAATTTCTCCTCTTTAACATAGATATTAGGGACTCTGATGTGAGCATTCTTGAGGAACTTTTTCAGGATTGGATATGTCTCATCAGTGATCATACTGAGATGTAGCTCAATGATACCATTATTACTATCCATTTGTTCCATCCATTGATTTAACTTCTTCCGTTGGGCTGTATTTCAGCCATCTGCTACTCTGAGGTAGTTATGACGAAGGTTTATAGTTTTAACCCAATCCTTAGCTTTTGTCTTTGAGTTCATAGTAATTATCCTTCTTTTACTTTTAAACTTAAGTTCAACAAAATAGATGTAGGGTGTCCTGCAGATCTGAATTTTAGACCGATAGCCAGGATTATTTCCCTTATAGACAGCTGCTGTTGTCAACAGAGAAAAAGAAATAGGCTCTGTGTTCATCACATCATCATTTTTGTTAAAAGAAATAAATAGTTTGTTCTGTTAGAATACAGTTTTTCTTCCTCCAATCAGCTGGGCCTTCCTGCTGTCCTTCTAAGACCATCACAAGGGATGATTTTAGGAATGGTTCGTTTGCAAACATAATTAAATTTTATTATCTCAATGTTTCTAAAATATTTAGGGGTTTTGGGGTTTTGGGGTTTTGGGGTTTTGGGGTTTTGGGGTTTTGGGG